GTCATGGAGACCCTCCCGTTGAGTCATGAGGTTCAGAAGAGCTCCACTTGCTTTCTAAACTCCCTCAGAGAGGAGTGTAGGTGCAGCTGGATCCAATCCTAGTCCCAGACTTGGTCAACGGTTTATGTCTAAAGGATTATATATGTGCAATCAATCCTTTATGTCACTTACCTAAGATTTCAAAGTTAGCATGCTGTTAGTCACTTACCAAGAATCTGTTGTGGTAAGGAATCTCTTAACCTCGAGGAGTAACCTTGAGAGGAGTCCCTGCTCAAAGGGAGATCCTGGCGTGCAGCCCGCTGCCGTGCAGGAGAGCTCAAAGGGCTCCTGGACTGCTCACTATTTCTGGGGGTAAGATAATTGGCTCATAGTCATATTTGCATACTGACCACTGTGCTTAGGTGGGCACATTCCACAATAGCCCTTGGCTATTGTATTGTTAGCTGTCTCCCCCTACATCCAGTGGGTGCATCCCTCATGACCAGACACATTTATCACCACCGCCACAGGTGGTTATCACTTGAAAGAGGTCAAAGGAGGGGGAGTCAGAAACCATGGGGGAGCACTCCGCCACACCATCATGCCTCCTACAGCAGGCCTTGTAAAACCATTACCGCAGTCCTCTTACCCAGGAACCTGCCGGGCTGTTGACATACTTGGGGTTTGTGGAGCAGCAGGGCTGGCCGGAACTGTAAGAAGTCACCTCAGCAAACCTGCCTAGGCAAGATAGTCGTTATTATCATCCAGAAATAAGATTTCAGAACCAGTGGGACAGTCCTAGAAAAGCAATTGGCTCAGTGCTCAGTAGTTCTTGGGAAAGAAACAGAAAAATAAAGTAATTGTATTACTGTATAAATCTGTGATGTGGCTGCATTTTGAATAGTGCACGTAGTTCTGGTCCGTCTCTCCCCCTTCCTCCTCCCTCCTTTTTAGAAAGGTTACAGAAGAAATGAAAGGTGCAGTGAAGTGCAACAACGGTGGCACAAAGGGATGCAGCTCCTACCACAGGAGGAAGATGAACGGGGATTTCCCACTGGGTGTCCAAGAGTGGGACATGCACAGTGTCCCTCTCAAGTTCATTGCCACGGGGTGCTGCAGAGGCCAAAAGCATGAAGACATTAAAGGGTTTACAAGTGAGATTCTCAGATTCATGAAGGGCAAGGTCACAGCTGATCGGACACAACTTCTGGCTAAACCAGTGATGGACGGACAGGGATGTGAAGTGAAAGAAATATGTCATTGCTTCCTGCACTCTTTCTGTAAGCATTTTTTGTTGGCTGCTGTCAGAGGCAGGCATCTGAGTTCAGGGGATAAAAGCTGGTTTTATGCCCTTCTAAAAATGTACCAAAAATATCCACGAGAAAGCTTGGATTACGCAGTGCTTACCACCCACAATTAAAGAAATTCACAGGTGCCCCAAGTATCTCGTCCTAGTGATTTCTTAAATTGATCACCAGGAGAGCTTTTTTCCTAATATCTAACCTAAAGCGTGCCATATTTTATCATGAGCCTCTGGTGGCAAATAGCTTATGCTCATTATTTTTAACTAGAGTTATGAATTGCCATGAGTTTACTGGTAAAGACGTGCTTCAGTTATGTCATCTAGGGGATGCTCATTTCGATGGGGATGTGGCAGTAAATCAGCGTGTCCCCCACCAGTACAGACAGAAAATATGAATCAATTTACATCATTTTGAATAGGAAGTCACTCTGGAAAGATCACCTAAACTTAATATTTCCAACATGTATTAGTTGTGAAAAGACAACCTAAAGACAGTGGAACAACAATTGCATTTACATCCAATGTGTTTTTCTTCTCTTTCACTATGGAGCCAGAGGCAGTGTTAGAAATGTGCCACTTCATATGTATTGCCAGAAAAGAGAAAATGCTGAAGGCCAGTACATTTTAGTGCCTTTTTTTCAGACAGCAGCAAACCCAGAAACTTTCAAAACCTCTGAGGAGACCCTTGGAGACTTATCAGCTAGCAATATGTGCATAGGAGTCAGGACTCAGACTGCTGTAAAGACTGCATTTGTACTTCTGGCAAGATCACTGCTAAATATTGATTATCTTAAGGTTAATTGTGCATCCTAGAACCTCTTTCTTTCTTAAAATGGCAATGACAAAAGAATCAGAGAAGTATTGCTTTTTTCCAACACTGAATGAGGAACTCATTGAAATGAAGAAAACAGTGGTTTTTTCAAGCCTACTCTCTATCTTCTTCTCCTTTACTGTATGCAGAAAAGAATTTTGAAGAGTTGTTGCCATTTTTTGTCTCAGTTTCCCTTATAAATTTGAGGAATATAAAAATAAAGCAAACATAACAAGAATGACCTTTCATTTCAATTTTAAGTCATCTCCATTAAAAAAAAATAATGCCTTTGTGCCTAGTTTTCAATTCATAAGGCCTCTAGAAAAGGAAACAAGGAAGTTATGAAAAGATGAGGCATTTACAGAAAAAAAGCTTTGGGTGCACTTCAGTTTTGTCCTGACTGAAACTGCATATACAGTGTCATTTTTGGTTTGCCTCTATGATGGACTTGCCCAGGCTGGATGACTGTGCTGCCACTTTTAGATGCTTGGATGCTGTCCTGGTGGCTTAGACCATGATGCTCTGCAGTGCAGAAGTTTTCAAATGGTTTCTGGGGTGGAGGAGGAGGCGTTTCTGGTTGAAGTGTTCTGTAAGTCACTGAAATGTCTTCCCTTAGGTTTCATGGGATCATTTCTCGGGAGCAAGCAGATGAAATACTTGCTGGTGTAGAAGGAGCATATATTCTTAGAGAAAGCCAGCGGCAACCCGGCTGCTATACTCTTGCTCTCAGGTAAATGCTGTTTTAATAGAGGCTTATAGTTCAAATATAAATGTGTTTAATGGAGGGGACTATATCCATCCCTGTTAAGTGAAGTCTGTGCCCACCATTATTATATAGACTTCATGGTGTCAGAGTGATTTTTACACCCCCTTGTCAACAGTTTGACCATCGCAGTACGGCAGCAATTCAGTCAGCACTTGGCTGGGAAGTCCCTTTTCAGAAGCAGACTGTGCTTGTTATCAAATTTTTTTGCTGCTTAGAGTTGAGTGATGTAACGATGGAGCTTCTCCTTGAAAACTGTGTAAGAGATGTGAGTGAGTACAGAACGGGACAGTGTGCCGGCAGAGGACACAGCCAGGTTGTCCTCTGAGCTCAGGGTGTGTTGTGCACAAACATGGGCAACCATCGGTGATAATAAACCTGGAAAATCGTGAAGTCCGGTGGCTGACCGCCTGTCAAAGGCAGCATTCTGAATTTCAGTTTTCTTCTCTATCTAGAATTCCAGCTTGTGTAGAAATACAGTGTGAAGCACAGGATGCTGCTGCTCAAAGAAGTAGGAGTCTGCTATTCAGCTGAATGCAAAATTCAGTGGGAGCCCAAGCTATAACCTCACTGCCCCTCACAGGTGCCTTCCCTTGAAACCATGGCCGCTCCTGGCTTAGCTCTGCTGTTCACACAAATCTTAAACTTGCTGTGGGTTAGTGGCAAGAGGACAAGATATTCTACTGAGTTTTGACAAAACAAACTCCTTGGCAATATTTTGCAATTTTTATAGCATTATTACTTCTGTGAGCTATGCACAAAATAAAAGTCTGCATTTTTACCCTTCTGCTGGTAAGCCAGAAAGAAAAATCCTTTAAGGAGTTACCCCAAGTAGCTGTGATACAGTGCTGAAATCATCCTCAGAATTTGCATTGATGTGCAGATGGTAGAGCTGGAAAAGCTGGTGAGTCATGCCAACTAAAAAGTGGTGTAAATTAAAAGCAACTTTTGTCAGCTGAAAAAGAACAAATGTAATTTTTTAGGGTTTTGGAGAGAGATTTCAAAATAAAGAATAAAAAGAACTACTAAAGGATGGGGATTATGGCAAAGTGCCTGTTGTTTTGTCACAACAGCATGATTTCTAAATCCATCTGGATAATTATTTGTGGAATCAAAAACTGAATTTGATTATAAATTGCGAATTCATATGAAAAATGTGGGCGAAAAAATAAGAGGCTTGAAGAGTTTGATTTGAATGCCCAACAAATTATGCAGAGACATGCACATTTGATGCAATATAAGGACCATTTAACCCAATGTCATATCTTTGAATCCTTTAATCAAGACTGAGTTTTCAACCTTGGTGTTATAAATCAAATGTGCTACTACAGCACTTTGCTTTTTAAAACACTTTTATAAAACCCAATAGATTATGCCTGCCCTAAATAGGGTGAGAATTATCCCTTTAACTTTAGGGGTTTAATTGGGCCCCTGAATTAGGAGCTCAGTCTTCCTGGCTTCCTGCCAGAGGGTGATTCAGACCCCTTAGGTTTTGAATTACTTGCTAGAGATGCCCATGTCTCTTCATTGACTTTAAATTAAGCATCCACTTTCTGCACCTCAAAAATGTTTCAGGGTGGAAGAGCCCTTAACACAATTATGCATCCCGGTCTTGTCAATGCAAACCTGCCTTTCTGATCACTGTGGTAGTCCCTTTAGGATTTAGATTTAAACGACGTGCATCTGGGTCACATAGCTTCTTGCGGAGACTTTGCCTCGGTTCTGTAGCCCAGTCCATGTGATGCAGTCAAGTTTGGGTTTGAACTTGAGTTGGTCTCTCCACACAGATCCAGCTGCAGCCATGAGCATATTCCATACCTATTCCAGACATACAGACTCATCAGCGAAATTACCTGCCAAGCGTTTTGCCAGTATGATTTCTCTCTCACTCTTCCCTCTCTCTCTTTCTTCTCTCCCTCCTTTTTTTCTGGTGTTTGCAGATTTGGTAATCAGACCTTAAACTACAGGTTGTTCTATGATGGGAAGCACTTCGTTGGGGAGAAAAGATTCGAATCAATCCATGATCTGGTTACAGATGGCTTGATAACATTGTATATAGAAACAAAGGCTTCTGAGTATATTTCCAAGATGACAACAAACCCCATCTATGAACACATTGGATATGCCACTTTGCTTAGAGAAAAAGTGTCCCGGAGGCTGAGCAGAACAAAAAATGAATCAAGAAAAGCAAGTGTTACGAGTGAAGAAAATACCCCGGTTGAAAAGGTAAGTATTCAGTTTAAAATTTTGGCAATCAGTACCAGTCTTTCTTTCAAATCTGAGAGAAAGAAAGTGTTTTATCTGAAGACCCGTTTCTATTTTTCTGTATTTCATTAAGTATTACTATCCCACTGAAAAGTTTATATCCTGTTAACGTGATCTTGGCTCCAAGCTAATATTTGACTGGAGCTTATGATGAAAGCTTTCTAACAAGTACCAAATGCAAATGTTTTCACTGTGTAAATATATATATACACCATCTAACTTAGGAACTGCATCTAAAATTGTTCACAGGTTATGATTCTTCATGCATTTATACTCAAGCATATTCCACAGTAGGATTATGAAATTGGTTCCCACTGACCCTTCACCACAGCTCAAGTTTGTTATCTTTCCATTCACAGACCAAAGCTCCTCTTTTCTGCCAAGTCTTTGGTGGATGGGTCTCAAATTGGGATATTGTATGTTTTCTTCCCTCTCATCTCGTGGGTCTGAAATCGGGATACTGTGTGTTTGCCTCCCTTTCTTCTCGCTTTTCTCACTTGAAGTGGGCTTTCCGTGATCTCCTTCTCTCATGTGCCTATATCCCAGAGCACTGTATGGACTAGGACTTATTTACATGATGATAAATTGAGAATTTCATGCAGTTAGCAGCCAGCTGAAGATGTAAAATTAGAAATTCTTTTACATATTTTACAACTTTTACAACAGACTTGTAAGCAGGGACATGTGGATATTTTAATTTCCCAGGTGGTAAGGCAGGAAGAACTGTCAAACAAAACTTCTTTTTTGGAGTCTGGCGTTTGTGCTGAATTGACCTACTGGCATTTGTAAGCATATATCGGCGGTGTGACTGATGATTTCAGTGTTCAGTGTGCTGCTAGCTAGTTGGGAACTACAGCCGGTTTGTATTTGGGAAGCAGGGAGTCAATTTGCTGTCATATAGTAATACTGAGCATGAAAAGAGGTCAGCTTTTTTGTGTGTATCCTCATCACTCTAGGACATTTCTTGCACAGTTATGTGTCGGATTCACATATCTGCATTGGCTGATTATACACTGGTTTGGACTTCTCAGTGATAATAATTGCTTGAGTAACTGACCTGACATGTAAACCTATTCATCCTCTATAACAAATTAGTTCCATTAACAATGACATTTTTTAGGGAAGGCATACTGCCGTGGGGAGAATGGCACAGCAACAAGTCTTCCATTCGAGTGTTATTTCAAAATGAGTCCACTGGTGACAATAGTTTTGGGGTTCAGCTGGATGGTATTGCAATATGCAAAAGGAGTGGATGCCATTGAGACAGGTTTCATGCTCGTTCAGTTGATTCCTGTGATTGGACACTGGTTGATTCTGAATGCTGTAACAGGCACAAGAAAGTGAATTTTGGCTTTATTTGAGGTACAATAAGAAATAAGCATAGTGCAGTGTGACAGCCTTTTTTGTGTCAGTAGGAGAATGATCCAGAGGATGTTCTGGAAAAGTTTCTTTTCTATCAAGAAAATCCTGGACCATCACTGGGATGACTGTAAATATTCCACAACTGTAAATATTATTACGTGACTGTAGTGTAATAAAGCAATCATGACAGTTTAAAATCATGCTTCATTCTCTAGGAAATCAGATTTTTTTTGGTACAAGGAAAAACACGATTTCAAAATTGTGTTCAGTTTTACTTACAGTTCTTGCAGTTGAGGAGCAATGGTCTTTTGTATCTCTCAAAATGCTCTCAAAGACTTCAGAGGGGTTTGCTCTAGTACCATATGTTTCCTAACAGATTGTGTTTTCTGTTGTGCTTGGGGTTGGATGTCATTTTTCAGGCTGGGCAGTTTTGAGTAAGTACTGTAAAAACTCTTTTAGACCAACAGAAGGCAAACTGTTGCTGAAGGGATCTCTGCCCACTCTCCTTCACCGCCTCCTTTTTGCTGATGTTCAGTTTTATGCAGCTACACAGTAAGTGACACTAGAAAAGTGCTCCAGATTAAAACTAACTCAGCCAGAAGAAAAAACATGTGAATTTTCAGCCAGATCTGCTACTCGATACACCTCATATTAGTCGAAAAGTAGAGGGCAAGACTTTCTTCTGATGACAGCTCAAAAAATGATGCTATGGGCTTAAAGTGACTGTTGAACTTCATCTGCAGTTTTCCAGGTACCTGTGCTTGAAAATGTTTGGTCTTGATGTAACTTGCTGTCGATAGTGAAAATACACCTCTGGACATTTTCACTGATTGGATTAGAACCATTGAATCATAGAATCATTTAGGTCAGAAAAGGCCCTTAAGATCATCCAGTCCAACCATAAACCTAACACTGCCAAGCCCACCACTAATCGGTGTCCCTAAGCACCACATCTACTCATCTTTTAAATGCCTCCAGGGATGGGGACTCAACTGCTTCCCTGGGCAGTCCGTTCCAGTGCTTGACAACCCTTTCAGTGAAGAAATTTTTCCTAATGTCCAATCTAAATGTCCCTTGGCAACTTGAGGCCATTTCTTCTTGTCCTATCACTTGTCACTTGGGAGAAGAGACCAACTAGGTCTTCTTTTGTATTGCAGCTGAGTGAAGTTGAAGTGTGTAAAGTATTATTTACCTCTGAGGTGGTTCACAATGTGAAAGGCAGTACCATGGGTCCTTACCCTACAAGGATTAGTGCTCATTTAAATTTCCGTGCATGCAGGCAGTAGCAGTCTGCAAGACTGGGCTGCATGGCTGCACTGTCATGTAAAAATAGCTGGCTTCAGCTAAGCCATTAGGTTGTTGGCAACCCTCTCTGCCTTCCTCCCACTGAGGGGAAGCAGCAGAAGGAGGAACAGCAGCTGTTTCTAACATATTTTTCTTGCCAGGAAGAGTAAGAGCAATCACAGCTACAAGAGGAGTGGGGCTAAATAGGCAAGGTGATCTGCTCACAGGCTGAAGACCTGCCATAACAGCTGAGGCCTTGCTATTCATGATTCAGACTCCCAATGGGCTTATCTACTGGTACCAATAGTTTTCCATCATCTTATGGAAGTCCATGTGGAAAAAAGGTTACTTCAGCTAAATTATTAGCAACTGAAAGAAATTCGCGGAAGTCTGTATGGTGAAGTCTACCGTGGTTGCTTTTGCTTTGTATGTTCCTGGGAGAAGCTCATGAGAGGTTCGAGTGGCAGGCAGACTCAGAAGTCACCATTCCCATTTCTTCCTCAGAGTAACCTCGGATAAAGTAGGGACTGGGTTTTGGAATAAACTGGTGAAATGCTGAGCATTTGTCAGTAATAGCTTTTAGGGACAGTGGAGGATAAAGGGAATATAATGTTTGTTTTTATATAAACTTTAGAAGTCCTCTAAAATATAAAAATAATACGGGGAAGTGGTAGTTCAATGGTAGTTGTATCAGATGTTTTGCTTGAGGCTGTCATGTGTTGTACAGCATTTTAGACAAAGGCTGTGGTCTGCCCACAAATCAAAACCTTCACCCACTTCAAGTACTCCAATAAATTTCAGACCCCTAGAAATAGGTAAATGAATATTCAGTATTCTTTGCTGCATATGTGAAAAATCATTGTGCTTTTTGTAAGGTGTTTTTTCTAGCCAGCTGAGCAGGTAAAATGTCTTTTTTTAAAATAATTGAGCTGGTTTATTTGAAAGTGCTGTCTGGAATATTTTGAAAGTTTCAGAAATTGGGGGGGGGGGGGGGGAGGCGACGCATGGA